CAACCGATCAATGATTTTGTGGAGTGCAAGGCTTTGAGATGGGAGACCCCCAGAGTCATATGAGTTATAGTCTAAACTCCTTCAAGGGGGGCTATAGAGGGGAGGTTATAGAGCAGTATTCTTGGGGTTATGAAGGGGGATACTAGGAGTTTAGACTGTAGCTCATATTTTGCCTGAAGCTTGCCTCTGATGTCAGCGGATTGGATCTGATTAATACGTAGAACGCCCGGGTCAGGTCTTCCTCGGCCAGCAGAGTGGTTTTTGAGGAGCCACGGATTTTCCATTGTAAGCCTCGGAGAGATGTCTTCGGGCGCGCATAGCATGCACAAGAAGCAGAGAGCAAAAGGGAGAGAGAGACAGAGAGGCAGCAGATGATTAGACAAATGCCCTAAAAGTAAGTTCCATCAAAGAGTCCTGCTGCCAACATTTTGCACAACAGCTGGTGGAAAGCCAACACAAAAGTCGTGTGTGTTCACAAGTATATGAGTTTTGCTAGGCCAGTTGATGAGAAAGGAGGAATACCACGGTCCAGATTGAGGCTCCAAGCTGTGTACTCTATGGGCGTATGAAGCAACGAGCTATTGGTTGCAAGCAGCCGGTCTTCAGGAAGTGGTGAGTTGCCATTTGGTAGTTCTGTTTGTAACAACCTCCCTAGCTACAGCTTGACGACCCTTCTGTACCCACCCAACCCACCACCCGACGCTTTCCGACGCTCGTCCAGGGATGCTGAACAACCTCCCCCAGCCCTTCCAGTCACAGCTCAATTGAGCATTTGGGTAGCAACAATATGGTGTAGCCCTGCAACTGCGACCCTGGCGCAGGAAAACATTCAAACTGTATCCGTGTGCTAACCTAGAGTCTCTTCCAGTGACCTTTCTCTGCATGCCGCACCCGCGTGTTGTACTAGGCCTAAGCACTGCCCCCTGAGCTCTTAACTCATAGCCCCTTACGCCCCAAGTCACAAAACCCAAAAAGCCCAAAGCTTATTGTGCGTCCCGTCGACTCCAAGGACACCCGTGCATCTATGGTGCTTCGCCACAGGCCTGCCGGAAAGAACGGAAGCTTTGGATGCTTGTTCAGCCTGGTATACTTTACGCAATGAGCCATATTCAGCGTGTTGTACGGGGCTTCGCATAAGCCCAAGCGCAAGCAGTTGCCTCAGGGGATAGTCACTGGATGCATTTTGCGAATGGCCGCACAATCTGTGCATCCTGCAATCGCCCCACCCGCTGAAGTTGTGGCCCCGGGTTCAAGCAACTTCAGTTTGCACCATTGGCCGGGTGCAGGGCAGACACAGATGTTGACCGCGAGCAGACTGCTCTTGGGGCCAACGCGCTTGAGGGCCAGCGTATGACAGCGGAGCCACTGAGCTAATGTGTCCGCTGGGAGTGGTCTCGGATGTGATTGGTGATTTGATTCAGTCGCCAGTATTCGCATCGGACGAGTCACATCCGGCATTCGTGTCAGAAGGGGAGGCCACACAAAAAAGCAGTCACGGATGGGAATGCGCTCCAGCTACTGGATATGAACTGTGGTTTGTCCATGGGTCATGTTCACTTATTCCATCAAGGTGTTACCAGGATGGGATGGGCTATGAGACGTGATACGTGCGTTGGTCTACCCTCACTAGAGTCCTAATTACTAGGGAATTGTAAGCAGTGTCAGGGTCTAGTGGCCAATCCTGGTAGGGGAGGAAAAGAATAATAGATTCACTCAACACAGCGATGGCTTTTTCCGCACTTTAGTCTTCCTTGCGTCGTCTCGTAGACTTGTTTAGCATGATATTAGGGGGACGGTTTAGGGTTTAGGGTTTAGGGGTGTGCAGGATTTTGGGATTAGGGCTTCTCAAAATCAGAGGCTCTTTTTCCTCACCCTACGACGAAACATACCCTGGCCCAAACTAATTGCCAGTGAGCTTTGTATTGAAAGCCTTAGATAGGGGATTTGCTTTTAATTCAATACAAAGGGAAGCCCTGACGCTTGTTGCATATCTTTCTCATCTTTTATGTACATTCCTTGTGAACAATATAATTTATACAAGGAAATTATGGAATACCCGAGCTGCTCAATTCTAATTGGATTTGCCTTCTTTTCTTGTACATAAACTTCTTTTTTACCTTCAAAGTAAGCAACAGCAAATCTAGAAAATGGAAATCCCAAGTTACAATAACATGTCCATGTTAGAGTCTTTCATCTCCTTGCAAACTGTGTTCTCTATGCAACAAAATGTTAGAACATCTAGGAGATGGCTAATTATAACCTTATTACCTCAGAGGTTCAGGCCTCCGAATTTCTTATTCCTTGTTAGGGGGGTTCACTTATACGGAGAGGTGATTAAGAGTTTTTGCGAGGTGCCCAGAAATTACACGCTACACCCCACTACCGTTCACTGTGAAAGAAGGCTGCGCCCCTAAACCCCAAGATTCGGACTTCCAAAAACAGCGCGCCTCTTCAAAGTAGGTATGGGGGATTTACAGCGACGCATTTGGGCATATAGGGTATGCGAGATTTACATCAATGCTTTCGGGCATATGGGACATGAAGGGTTTAGGGCTTCCAAACACAAACAGGGCTTTGTTTTGCAGTCCGTCTCTAAAGGGTTTTTATGGTGATCATAGTAGATTTGGATTTATTGCGGTCCCTTTTTTGGGGAAACAGCCAGGCTGCATTGTAAGCCCGGACCTGCGGTCGCTGCTTGGGATAACATTGCACCAGGGTGTCGCAAGTTGTGCGCAGCTGTGAGAGTGAGCAGCCGGATTCTTTGACCACTCCTTGTTACATTTCGCTATGTCCTGGCTTTTCAGCCCCACCCATACGTAGATAATGAGACCTCTAACAATAACTCCCCCACCCCTTCAACAAATTACCCCAGTATAGCACCATCAAATAACAGGGGAATAATTATTATTAGGAAGGTGGTGGTTCTTGCTGTGGGCCCAAAATCCAAAAGCCTGAGCCTGCGCCCAAGTCTGTCATTTCCAAGCAGCCCGACCCTCTGAAGTTGTTGCCCTGTGTTCAAGCAACTTCAGTTTGCACCGTTGGCCGGGTGCAGGGCAGACACGATTTTGGCCCGCGCGCAGACTGCCCTTGGGGCCAACGCGCTTGAGGGCAAGCGTATGACAGCGGAGCTACTGAGCTAACGCGTCCGCTGGGGGTGGTCTCGGATGTTGTGTGCGGTTTGATTTGACTGCCACTATTCGCATCGGACGAGTCGCATCCGGCGTTACGTGTCAGAGGGGGAGGCCACGATGAACACTACTTGATCATTGTGTGCCTTGTGCAGAGCTCGAACGGTCAAAGCTTATGGCAGTCAAGACGACCATTGGTTCGTAAGATGGAAGCCCGTGGGCGCAAGCCGTTTAGCATCTAGCCCAAATTTAGCTGCTTAGGATGACATTGCTGTAATTGGCCGGCAGTTGTGGTAGACATATCTTGTCATGCCAAGGGTTCAAGTTCAAAGCCGCAAGCAGAAAAGCTTTGGTCAGTCCCTGTGCATCCCTGTACATGTTTTTCTGGCATTGAACCCTCCCCCCCGCTACCACTAAACTGGGGTACCCCAGGGTCCGGGCAAAACGGTCTACTCTAGCCAGAAAATGCCGCTGGGGCTCTCAGCGGGGTCCAGGCATGGCATTATACAGTGCTTCAAAGGCGTGGGACTGTGTCAGTTTAAGCCTTTGACCCAATGTTCTTGGATCCGGTATAACCTCATCGCATTCTGTGTCTTTTGCAGATGTATTGTGTCAAGCTGCTTTACGCATATATGTGATGCTGACGCAGTGGTGCCTAGGCCGAAGGGGATAATTACTCAGGAGATGAGGCGATTTGTATGTTGAAGACATGTTTCAGCCATCAAAAGTCTTCTAGAACATGACCCTGTGACCCTCATGGTAAACGCTGTGTGCGCCCGTTTTACAAGCACTTTTGTTTGGTTTCGACCGGTTTGCCGGTTAAATGGTAGGTTAGGGCTCACCTTGATACATGTGGAGAGAGAGCCGCGCAACCGGTGGTTCCCATGTGGACAGGGTATAGCAACTTCAGTTCGCACCGTTGGCCGGGCGGACACGATTTTGGCCCGCGAGCAGACTGCCCTTGGGGCCAACGCGCTTGAGGGCAAGCGTATGACAGCGGAGCTGGGGGTGGTCTCGGATGTTGTGTGCGGTTTGATTTGACTGCCACTATTCGCATCGAACGAGTCGATTCCGGCATTCCGTCTACCGAGAAAGGAGGCAAAGTTGGATATTAATTAGGGGCGCTCATTTTGCCTTGTTAGCCCTCACGTTTGTTGACATATGTTTCTTCATTTGCTTGCCGGCAGCATGACGTATTATAGTTGGAGGCTTTGCTCCTAAGGAGGTGTTGGGGATTTTTCTTTTGAAGGGACTCTATTCCTAGGGGCAGGGGATGAGACATTGACATGTTTGTGGGAATCGAATGCACACCATGCAGATCACTGAGGGACAAGAGCAGCAAGGAGACTCGGAATGGAAAGAAAATACTTCATGGTTCTGAACACTTGTATGCATCTTTAGATAAGCACTCAGACCGCCCAAGCAATCAATGCGCTCAAGCTCCCAACTTTCAAAAAGCCACATCGCCTAATCATACAATAGGACCACGTGCAGAACGTTTTTCATTCCTGAACAAACCCTTCGTAGACAGCCATGAGAACACAGCCTTCCACTACAGATGGGGGAACTGTCGACTGGGGAAAAACACCATGGAAGCTTGTTAGGATCCTCAAGGGGGACCCTTATAACCTTCCCTACCTGTCAATAGGGGTTGAAACATCTGCTTGCAAGGTTCCTCCGCAGAGGCCTTTATCACGACATGTAAACCTCATACCTTGATGGGTTTGGAGGGGCCGAAGCCGTAAATTGGCATACTTTTATGTTGCTTCGAACGCTAAACCTAACAAACCCTTGGGCCAGCTTGAAATCCTGAGCCCCAGGCATTTATGAGTGCAGGTTGTGCTTCCTCGCCTGGGACCTGGTTGGCCTCCAATGTTTCTGGACCTGCCCCAACCCAGCATTTCTCAGCCAGACGCTTGGGGGCCCAAGGGGTTTAGGGTTTAGGGCTGCCAAACTTGAATGGGGGTTTGGATTCAGGGTTTATGGGTTTAGGGCTTACGACATTTATCTGGCAAAAAAGGGCTTACGGCAGTGAACCCCGCTCTCTATACTGATTAGGGGAGGGCATTACGACAATTAGCAGTTTCGGGGTCCGAGTCGCAGATAGGTAGGAAAAGCATTCAAGTTAGAAACAGCTTATAACCGCATTATAGCCCATTTCACCCAAAAGTTGCTGTTGTAGATGGCGCTACGTAGTCTTTTGTGGTATGCCTGACGCACAATCAATATAGATCCCTGTAGTATGGAACGCTAATTCCCATTTAATTTTCCAGTTTCTTTTCCATGTGATTCTCCATTATTGCAAAAATGCCATTTAACTAAGCCCTATATCATCCTTATATAGTTTCCTCGATGGAATCCCTATGAACACTAGAGTTTAGGGCTTGGGGTGGATGAGTTTAGGCTGGAAGGCTCCAGCCTTCAGTGTCCAAGGATAGGTGGGGTCTTGGATCCCTTCAAAAGTGTCGTGGGGACATATGAGCTGTAATCTAAACTCCTAAAAGGGGGTTATTTAGGAGATTACACAGGGGAGTACTCTAGGGGTTCCTAAGGGGACTACTAGGAGTTTAGACTATGGCCCAGATGCTCCTGGGGGGGACTTCCGTGCCTCCCTTATAGGCTTGAAAGAAAAAGAGAGAGACATATATACAAAAGCAGTGAGAAGAATAATTTTTATGTGTATATATATATATAGAGAACATAAGGGCTTGTAGGATTATGTAGCATTATATTGTATATATATATATATGTAGAGCAGAAGGGCTTGTAGGGTTATGTAGCGCTATAGAGGGATACATAGGGATATCTAGTCTTATGTAAGGGGTATAGGGTTTAGTGTGCAGTCTGGTTTTGAGGCATTGGGGATGAGGGTTCGCGGGGCATCTTTCAGGAGGTTAAGGTTTGAAAGTTACAGGGCCTCCGAAGCCCCATACCATAGAAGCAGACCAGTATAAGGGATTACAAGAGTACCCCCCCAAAGGTACCCCCCCAGGGCTTTAGGAGCTAATAAGGACTATGTAGGGCTTAATGAGGCCTAATAGGGTTCTAAATCACTCCCATGTCCCCCTTCAGTGGGCAATGTAGACAGACGCCAAGGTTGAGGCTGTAGGGCTCTTAAAGTTACTGCGATCTCATGAAAACATCCCTCCAGCGCATAATATATCCGCCGACAATCCAGAGTGCCTAGGAATTCAGTTCCCCTCCCCACGAGCAACTTTAAACCCGAAAGCAGGGGTTGTAGGGTTGAATTTTTAGGGTTGAGGCCTAAGTGTCCTTTGAACCACCAGGTCTGTGGGGTTTCATGTAGGAGAGGGGACTCCTTGCAACCCTCTGCCCTGAAGTATGTGGAATGTGGTAAAGGGGCAGCCAGGTGAACCTCAACCCTAAGCCTAAGCCCTAATCAAAAGTAAACCCTGACCCTACACCCCCGCAACCCTAAACCATAAATAGGGCCTAATGACTTGGGCCGGCCAAGGAACCTCGGGACTTCGACTACAAACCGCGGAGCCGGGCAGCTAGTGCGCCAGATAGGCCTGCGTCGGCCTTGCAGTTGAATACATGGTGAGGGGGGCATATTCCCTGACAGTCCTCCTGCGGGTTTTCATAGTCTGCTGCAAGCTGCCTCCAAACCCAATTCACAACGCTAGCTTCTACATTGCTTAGTAGGTACACTTTTCATGCACAGGATTGCAAGCAGTTCAGCATGCAGCGACTGCTTCGGCCTGCAATTCTCCAGAGGGTGGCCGCTTCAAGGGGGTTTCTGTTTCATCCGTGAAAACGTAGGGAATGCTCAATCCTTGGATGGTTTCGAAGCTTCACGAGCAAATCCTACAGCGGAAGCGCTACACCGTTTGGCGCGATTGCCTAAACCTCAATCTCATCCCTCCCTACTTACCGTCTCATCCTGGAAGGAGGAGGAACTCCGCCTCAGACTTCCTGACCTCTGACCATGTTCGGGTCCGCAAACGCGCGGCAATGCGAAGAGCCAGAGCTTGCGCAACAGGCGCAATGGCAGATTTCAACATTCCAATCTCTAGCCAAGATCACACACACGTTTTTTAGAGGGAAGAAGAAGCAGTTTTTTTCTGCAGTTCAGGGGTAATTACAGTTTAAGGTATTGCTGTATTGTTAGAGCACGTTTCGCGGGGACACACAAAAACATCACTTAATTGCTATCGTCACAATTTAATTATCCAGCGTTTGTTCAGCATGTCATTTGATGACATCAGCCTTCTCTCCTCCCGCATGTCGCTAAAGGTAGCGAGCTGGCCGCAGACGTCAATGGATCTGGTTATCAGAGAGCTGAGTGGTCTTCAGAGCTGTGTCAAAATGGCACGCCGTTTGCTGTACTCGTGCAGCAGCTGGAGGCAGAACAGCATGACTGTGAATCGCCCGTTGTCCAAGCACTGCTACATGAAGTTTGTGTGGCAGCAGCAGATGAGCGATCGAAGAGGCTTTTGTGTAGAGCTGGCCTGCACAAGACCCTTGCCAGCCTTCTGTTCAGTGTGGCCAGTTGCCGGAGGCACGATTTGGCACAAGCAGCGTTGTGCAGCCTTTGGAACCTGGCCGGTCCCATGGACCTGCGAGCAGAAGTTGCGCAGACTTGTGTAGCCCATGCCCTGGGAGACACCGTGGAACGTTTGGGTGCCTCCCTGGAGATCCTGGAATGGACTGCGCGTGTTGCATGGCTCCTTGCGGAAGATCCTTCGGCCGCCGAGGTTTTGGTAGCTTGCAATGTCCCAGAGGTCTTGGAGCGCGCAGCTCCTGGCCCAGAAAGCCCTGAGGTTCAACGCTGGGTCAACCGGGCCGTTTGCCGGATGGTGCAGTCGTTAGACTAGCAGCGCAGCAAAAAAAGAAGAAACTTGGAGCAGGGCCTCTCCTTTCTGCTCTTAGGCGCGAGGACCCCCTAAAGGATCCTACAAATGGAGCCGCCCCAATATGAACCCATTCCTAGATTGGGGAAACTAGGGGATTATTAGGTATTAGGGGGTTCCATTTTTGGATCCTTCAGGGGTCTGAGTCATAATTGCTTGCAAGCAACTCAGCGGCAGGAGTGCAGCAAATTTGTTCCAAGACAAACCCTTGGGTACGTAGTAATTATTGATACGACAAAAGCACATAGAGGCATCATTTGAGAGGACCATGGGGACCCCAAACAGAGAACTCCAAGGAGATAGTAGGAATATAGAAGGACCCCGGCAGGTATATTCCTATTCTGTTCCTACTATATGGTAGTTTCCCTAAATAGGGGGAACCCAATATAGACCCCAAAATACCATAGTCCTTAATATAGGGACCCCCAAAATGGTACCCATAAATTTGGGAAACCCTAATCCTTATAATCCCCTATATAAACACAGTTTCCATTTCATTTTCCATTTTCTTTTCCATTTGATTCTCCATTATAGTAGGTACCCCTGATTTTGAGAAACCCTAAACCTTAAACCCATATTCTTGGGAGTCAGAAGCCCAAGGAGGCCGAGAATCCGGAGTGGCAAAGGCAGACACCCGGACTTTTTTGGCTTTTTGCACATGGAACAACTTTTCAAGTGGGCTTTGTAAGGGTTATACATGGGGTATAGAGGATGCATCTATATGAGTTCGGGTATCTGGTTAGGGCTTTTAGGATTGAGGAGTTTGGGGTTCGGGGGCTCAGGGTTTGGGGACAAAATATCCAGAGTTTCGGGTTGGAGGGTTAGAGCTTGGGGCAAAGGAGTTTCGCGTGGAAGGGTTCGTAGCCACAGGCTTGGAGTTTGTTTTGGGATTCAGGGTGCCCTTTCAAAGGGCTATAGTCCCCCTTGAGTAGATAGAATATGGAATTGCCCAACACCATAATAAGATCCCCATATACCTCATATTCCATCTACCTAAAAGGGACTGTACGTGAGTATGTGCCTGAGTTCCGTATACCCTGAGATATCGGGGAAGTTACGACGGAACACACTGTACGGCAACTGCGTTCTGGGGGCCTCACAGTTAAACAGCACAACCTCGACGATTGTATCGGAGATGCTTCTGAAACTCGCGGTCCTTTGCATTGCGACACCCACAATATGACCTTAACATTACCCTGAACCCTATAAACCCTAAACCCTAAAGCCTCAATAGTAGCTTCCATTTCATTTTCCATTTCGGACATGGGAGTTCATGAGCAGCATCCATCTAGAATGCTTGCTCGGGACCACCTCATCTCCCTATCATGCCGTATATTTCTAGAGTCCACCTATTCCCCACATTTTAGCCTTCTCCTTGCTGGGGTTAGTAAAGTATACTAGTCTAGGGCCCAAGGAGTTTAGGGTCTAGGGTGTTGGGCTTAGGGTTTAGGTCCTCCTTTAAGTTATAGTTTGTAGAAGATGAAGCATGCCCTCCAACCACTGCCATATCATAATATAAGCCATAGTCTAAACTCCTCGAAGGTGGTTATATAGGGAATTATATAGGGGACTACTATAGGGATATTAAGGGGGATACTAGGAGTTTAGACAATGGCTCATATGTTGGGAATTGAAATACCTAATCTTGGGAGAGCGGGTGCTTTGACAGTAATGGAGGGGATGATCTGACTCTTACGTTTAGGGTTTAAGGTTTCGGGTTTTTATGTAGACCCCTCATTGATAAACTCCCTCCTTTTAAGGGCCTTGATATTAGGATCCTTGTTATAACCCCTATTAAGGGGAGGGGGGTTATTAATCATGGGTCTGGGTTTAGGGTTTAGGGTAAGCACCAACGACGGCAGAGTACATTTTATTTCAAAGGTCCTTTTGCCCTAAGCTCTTAACCCAAAAGAGGGACCCTGAAACCCTAAACCCTAAGCCCTTAATTCATCTTGATTCTAAACACCCAGGTAAGGCAGGAAGGCACTCAAGTCATAACCACGCATCAGCCTGGATCCCTGTACAGGTGGCCTTACAGATACCGCCAGTGCGTTCGCAATGTATATATATATATATGTGTGTATCTATGTGAATGGGTAGTATTCTATTTGGATATTTTGCTACCACGTATAAAACGAGAGAGATTACATCCTCCTTTGGCGTATGGTATTCCATATATATTATAATCGTAAATGGTCCAACCACCAAGGAAGTCTCCACTCATATGTGCGCACACGCCTCCTCCTCTTTACTCTAAATCAATCCCCAGATGCCTAGAAACTCTAAATCCTAAATCCCCTAACCCGAAATGCTCTAAACCGCAAGTCCCTAAAGTCCCTACATCATGCCTACTATGCATGTATATAGACACACACACATATATATATATACACGCACATCCTATATATTAAAGAAGCTTCCATTTTCTTTTCCATTACCCCATTTATAGCCCCACTATATCTTTTCCATTATGCCAATATAACTCCTATTTACTGCTAACTTCTAAACTCCGAGTCCAGGATGCCCTCATTCGTGCAGTTCTTACGCCAGCTGCGGCCGCAACTCCCACGCCGCCACGTTTGGGTCCTGGCTGGGGCGTAGGGTCATGAGAAAGGCTTAGGGTTGAGGGCTTGGGGTTTAGCGTTCGGGGATTAGGGTTTAGGGGTCAGAGTTTGGGTGGTAAATAGTTGGAGGTATAAGAGTATTTAGGTGTATATATAGCGGAGTGGAGAAGCACATGCAAAAGAAAATGGACAATGAAATGCAAACTGGAGTTATTTAGGGGTTTGTAGGGTTTATGAAATTTACCTGTACAGGCCTGATTAACTACCATCATCATGGTCTTAGATTCTGTAAATCTATGGTATGTTCTGGATCAGATACTTGTATTGGCAATTGTCATCATGTCACTTACATTAGCGTGTGGGCGGGAATTGGAACTATTAATACTAAAGGTCAGCATAATACACATTATATGAGGCTTCTGCAGCTTCTACACTGATTTCAAGGGGTGCTCCGTGGTTGATGGAGGGTTATATGTGGACTTGTAGGAAAATATAGGAGTATATAGGGGTCAGGGAAAACTGAATGGGAAAAGGATAAGAATATCATAGTATGGAGAGGTTATAAAGTTTAGGGTTTCAGGATTAAGGTGTTTTTCAGTTTAGGGCTTGAGGTCCTTGTGTTAGGATTTAGAGGATTTAGAGCTTCATACCGTGCTACATGCAGAAATGGGATAAGGATGGCTTGCGCTTGTTTTCTTTCTTCCTGGCTCTTGCGGTGGGGAGATACTGATGTTCCAACTTTGACTCTAAGTCATTCTTGGCTATTAGGGCTATGGCTGGGGGGGCTGCAAAGTGATCCCTACACCCTAAACCCTAAACCCTAAACCCTAAGCTTGCCGGGTGGGTGAGTCTTTTACACATTTTGAGGGTTCCGACTCGAGTCACAGCTGCGCACAGAAAAGGCTTTTAGTGTTTTCTTCATCGTGGCGCAGTTTACGAAGAACTCCTTTGTCATGCCGTTGCCAGCAATGACCCGTAATTTCAGTGAAGCCCTAAACACCCTAAACCACTGAACTCCCAAACCCTATTGGGGTGGGCGTCCTGCGGGCGGTTTTGTAGTTCTACAGGGTGTCATAAAGCTTGTAACTGGGGTCTGAGGTATTTGATTATGGGGGTGGTTATAGGCAGGTATGAAGTATTATTGAGCTTTTCTGCGGCTGAGGCATGAGGGCTTGGTCCTTAAGGCGTTGGCCCTGCAGGCTTATGGTTCAGGCTTTGGCCCAGGGTGGTGACAAGTTCTGTTCAAAAGCACCCTCCTGCAAGCAAACACCCAAGCCCAAAAGGCCCTGCAAAGACCTTCTGTCCTTTCAAGTCGGGGAAGTCTTAGGCTTCCATGTTGGTTTGGGGGAGGATAGCCTCTATGCACCCTATTATGCTATAGTAGTTTCCATTTTCAATGCCAATATTCCAAAATAGATCACCTATATAACCCCTTAATATGACCTAACTCCAGGCATGTAGTCTCAGGTTGGGGGTCGGGGGATTCACCCGTCGCCCTGAAAATGATCCTACACTCCAGCCCCCTCATTAGTTAAGGACATCCCGCAAGCAGCCCTCACGAGAGTTGAAGAGTTTGGAGACTCAGTAAAAGAATTCTGGACCTTCAAGGCTTGGCATTGACACAAACGGTGGATCTCTACAACCGGACGGCATAAGAACCCCAGACCCCACACAGCCCTGTATATCTCCCCGTAAACGGGCCAGACGGGCCCAGGCTTGAATCAATCTAAATGGGTTGTTGTTAATTACATTCTAGATGTTTCTGCGCAGCCGGAGTTTGACAACGAACGCTTTTACATAGTACTTTAATACAAGTGAGAATCCCTTATAGCCCTACGTAACCATATATAGCCTGATATACTCTTCTGGAATCACTCATTAATCCTAAACCCATAACCCTCTCTTAAACCCCAAACAGTACTTTAATGGGGAGACCTTCAGTCATAGAACCACGGCCCCCCCCCTCCAAATATGTGCGCTTAATAAGTTTTGAAGAATCCCTAGGCTGTGCGCCTACACACTGGGTTGGGGGGGTTGAGGCCGAAACCCTAAACCCTTAACCGCCCCATGCTTCAGGTTACTGCGGAGGAGCAACCTCCTGGTGTACTTGGTTGGGTTGACGGCGCCGAGCGGGCCACGCAGGGCTTCCAAAGGCCTCTCAGCCTTTCAACGCATCACTACAAGGGTGTCCCCTGAGTATGTAGGGATATATCGGGGAGTAAGACCCTAAGACCTAAGAGTCCACGGACCCAAAGAATAGGGTGTTAGGGCCCAAATACCCCGAATATTATAGCATTTGGGCCCTAACTGCGTAGGAGATCCTTCAGGTGAGCCCATAGAACCAGGAAATCCAAGAAAACTCCTAACTCCTATAGAACCCGTATAGAGCCTACAGTCCCC